TGGTTTGGCTCAGTAATAGAAAGGGTCCTGGGTTTGATTCCAGTCAAGGGCATGTACCTTGCTTGCAGGCCCATCCCCAATAGGGGTGTGCAGGAGGCAGCTGATCGATGTTTCTCTCTCATTGATGTTTCTAACTCTCTATCCCTCTCCCTTCCTCTCTGTAAAAAATCAATAAAAATATATTTTTTAAAAAAAGAGTAGGCCTTCCTTCCCCCGGTTGCTGGCACATGGGACCTGGGCTTCCCTCACAGCCCTGGCTTCGTCCAGAAGGTCATCTGGAAGGACATCCGGTTAATTAGCATATTACCCTTTTATTATTATAGATGATTAGAACTTTGAGGAATGTCTATGTTGTCCCACATGCAACTTTATCATAGGGCTCCTTTGTCTGAAAAGGCTAAACATATATATGCTATGCAGATTGTTTTGAGTTAAGGCAACTGATGCCATGCAGGCTCAAGAGAAACTTCTGCCTGCCCTTAACTACCTAGAAGAGTTTGAATTAGGAGACTTGCCCAAGAGATGATCAGACATAACACTTTTTGACCTAACTATATGGCAGGACAAACTACTAATGACTGAATATCTGCTTTTCTTTATTGTCCTGCAGTAACCTTCCTCGCCCCTCTGAAGCCTCAAGGTGACCCTTAGCTCAGAATGTCATATATATGTAATTTCCCCTTTCTCTCTATGAATCTCTCATGTATATGGGGTCTTTGACTCTCTCACGTATGTGGGGTTCCCATACATATGTATGTAATTAAATTTGGCCACTTTTCTCTTATTAATCTGTCTCATGTAAATTTAATGGTTAGAACAGCGGAAAGAACTTTGAGAGAAGAAAGTTTCTTCTTCACCCACAGCAACTTAAAAGAGACTTAATTTCATGAGAAACAACATCAAAATATCCCAAAACAGTAGTCTTGAGAGACCTCCATGGTGTAATTAGTTATATTAGTTTTCTGCAGCAGTAATAAATTAGCACTTACTGTAATTTTTTTTCCTGTGGTCATTCTTACTTCCACCAAATGGCACAGCTATACATAACCAAGGGGTATGTAGGCAATTTAAGTTGGGGTCTCATCTGGTAATCTGCAGATTTTTATTAAGCTTTTCCGAGGATGCAGAAGAGGGTAGGAGGCAGCAGTACTGTTGAGTTGTCAAGATTTATCTTTGTAAATCTGTAAACCAACGTTTTCGTATTGCTCTATGGTAGGCCAACAATTACCATGAGTCAGGTGTCTAGAATGTTTGCATGATTAGCACAGGGCTTTACTTCATATTCTCACACTCCTGGCGATAAGACATTCAATTTGAGAATCACCCACCCCCAGTCCTTTTTGTAGGTGACTTGACCGCCCACCTCTCCCACCATGGCTGGATTGGTAGTGGTGGACGCTTGACCTAAAATGGCCTTAATCATATTCCTTCTCTCAGTAATTTGGAATTGGGGGATCTAGTATCTCTTAGAAGGGAGAGATACAAACTTGAGTATTCTGAGATGACCATTTTAATCCATTGCATGGCTAGATATTCAGAGGAAGTAGATCTAGAAAAAGAGAAAAGAATGAAGCAGAAATTCTTGAAAACAAAAGAGGGGAGAAGAGAGATTCTGCAGGGTTCCCATGGTTCCTCTGACCCCACTGCCTCCCTGCCGTTGGATTATGTGAGTCAGTACTATATTTTTATAACAAATTCCCTTACACACTTGAAACCAGATTTCCTGTAACTACAAGCATCCAGCCAGTGGTAACCTTTGTTAGGAGACAAGAGATCAGTGTTTATCCACCCTTTTATGGAAGTGTTTATATTTTAAGTGGGATTTAAAATCAGAATCCTTAAAATATTGCTCTTATTGGCAGTGATAGAATTAGAAAAATCCAGTGACTTTTGAAAGACCTTCTGCCAAGTTGAATCTCACAGATGCTTAGGAACATATAACTTCTCTCTAGAATGGAACAAATAGCAAGTTTTTGCTACTGCTTGTAGATTCTTCTCTTATTTCCTGTTCCCTCAGATCTTTATGGAGCTGGCTTCTTCTCTCCTCATGGGCCTTTTCAGAGGGGACTTCCTTGGCATCTCAAACTAAAGGGGCACCGTCTCTCCTTTAGTTTTGCAGCAACTTATTTTTCTTCCACACACTATCATCTCTAGAGGGCATACGCATTTGTTGCGAGATGCTTGCTTTCTCAACTAGAAAGTCATCTCCATTTAGTTGGGCACAGTGTCTGTTCCGTTCACCGCTGAATGCCAGATTCTGCACCAGGGCTTGCCTGGCAGAGGTGGAGTAAAAAACAAAACAAACAAAAAAAACAAAAACGGAATAAAAAGTGCACTTTTGTATTTCAATAACTTGTTTTTTCTTACGTAACAAGATTTTGCAATTAGGAGTAGTTTGTCGGGTAGCAGGGCAACCCCAGGAAAAA